ACATACGTCGTCAGAACGAAGTCAGGCCCGACTACATTCTGACTACACACGTCGTCAGAATGATGTCAGAGGATGTCAGCCAACCCCATCTATTTTAGCTTTTCCTTCCAAGACAGAGATTATCACACCCTGCTTGGCAGGGATCCTGTACAAGCTTGTTATGTACAAATGGACAGTCAGCAAAGTAAAGATCAGGCCCTGGTCTTAACTTTGTCCTGGCGAATGTCTGTGAAGCGTCCTGCTTGGCAGGATAGCTTGTACACAGCTTGCTTTGTACAAAGCAACAATTCTTTCCAGAAAGAGTTGTTGCATGAGTAATGTTTATCCTTCAGTCTCGCAAACATCCTGCTTGGCAGGGATTTCCTATACAGCGGACACCCCGCCAACATGACCTGCGCAACTCCTTTGACACAATTAACTATACTCAATGATAGTGCATGTAAACAGCCATCAAAATGAACCGAGTCAAAAATCTATTCAAAAAGAACTTTTATCAGAAAAAAAACAAAATCTATTCAAAAAACCAAGGAAAAGCATCCAAAAAAAACATACTTTACCAAAAACAAACATCAAAAAAAAACAAGGTTTTGTAAGTATGCTTAAGTGCGCAGTAAGTTAGAATAAGTTGTTTTTGCAAAATCTCGATTCAGAAGATATAAAACACTTACAAACAGAGCATGTGCACTGTATCTAAGCTTAAGTGCTGCCGAACACTTACTGCAGCTTACGCAGTTTTAGACAAATGTATAACCTCAGTTACACTATAATATAACGTCAGTTAGGTCAACATATACCTAGGGTTAAGTTAACCCGTCCTTGTGGTACGACTCTTTTCCGACCCACCCTCTACCACCCTATTTTCCGCAAGTGCAGTCATGTGCGAGTGCATACCATATAAAGGTCATGACTTCCAGTCATTGAAAGTATTTTGTGTTGACCACCACCTATTTCTTTTACTTGGACCGAAGTTGGTCACCTTTCAGTCTGCGTGTGCAGTTTCTCTATATGCAAGTGCAATATTACCCAAACCGGATTGTTGTTTTTCAAGCTCCTTGCTTCCGGCCATGACATTGCGAGACGTTTCCTTTGATCCCCTTGATTTGTGTTACTTGGAGCGAAGTAGGTCACATCCTTCGAACGTTTCGACCCTTTTTCTCAGGTGCTTTCCTGGACCCTGCGGCGTCCTGTGATGCTTCATGTAGTTGCATGGGGCTTGCAACCTAACAGTGACGCAATTTGTGTTGATCTCGACACGTTGCGCCAAGCTCTCTTTTTTTTTCGACGGCGCCAGAGCAGTCTCGACTTCGTTTACCTTGGCAATTTGATCATCTTATTTCCTTTTGTCATTGGACCTCAGAGTGGCTCCATTTCAAGTCAGGCGACTTGATCCGGCATTAGCCTCGTCGAGAGCTCTTGATCCGTCTATTGCGCAAGTATGAGTTCATGTTGCAAGCCACACCGCTCAATCAAGCGGTTTTGCGGTGCTTCACTTCCTCGAAGCCTAGTTCGATGCATTTCGATTCCTTCGATGCAGTCCGATGCCTAATCCGACCGTCGTGAAAGCGCGACGAATTTCGTGTCCGATCCCAGACAGAGGAAAAAGAGTTGCGCGTGTGAGTCTTGCTATGAACAAACGTGTTTTCTTGTGAAACGTTCTCACGCATGGCAATCACAGAGAAAATAAGGTTGTGTATTGGGTTTACCAGGGTTGGAAATTAGGTGGAGCCATCCTGCGGTGGCAATATCGGCTGTCCATGATGATTGAACAATTGCGTTCTCTACGGCTTCTACTTCGGGCGCAATTTACGCACACGTCTGAGCCAATCAAATATCTAGTGACGTAAGCCCAATTCCGCCCCTGCCCTTCCTGGAGGAAATCCTCAAATTTCTATTTCTTGTTCTGTCGACTATATTTACGAATAAATTTATGAAGGCGTCGGAACCTTACCAGGTATTTCCACCCTGCAAAAACAGATTTCAAGAAACAATCACGCGCGAGCTGCTTTGCGAGCCTGCCACATGTTTGCTATCAAAGAGGTCAATGTGGAGTCGGCGGGCTGGACTCTAGGAAATCAAGTACGATCCAAAATAATGAATTCAATTTTAAATTCCGGAACAGAACATAAAATCGTGACACCTTGTGATGACAGGTATGTTCTAGCCTCCCAAAAAAAAACCTTGTCTTCTGATCGAGCTCTGCTTCATCTCCTGTCGAATGCGAAAGCGATCGAACTAAATAATCGGGCGAGGTCGGACTAGGAAACCATTTGGAAATAGATCAGCGCAATAGAATGTATCTAGGTCCAAATTATTCAAAATTGAATTCAAAATCATAAAGCATATACGGGTCCATCAAAGGCCACCGGAATTGGGATCGACGCATCAAGACAAAATCGATCCTAGATATCACGAAAGCTAGCACCAGCTAGCTGGAGTTGTCCTTGCTTTAGCAAGTGAGGGGCTGGAATCCTCGGGATCGCCGAATCACGTGAAAACTTCATATGTAGGGGGGGGCCCCCCCTGAGTTCCCCCAGAAGTGGCAGTTGGATAACTGGACCTGATCGAAACACCAAGCAGTCAAACAAGTGCGGTCGGTGTGCGAGCTGCGGCGAAGCACACCTTTTCTATGGCAGTGAATGCAGTATTGGGCTGCTAAGTCTTGAGCCAAATGAATTATGTCGAAAGCGGACTGAAGAGCTACAGACTAATATATGTATACAAGGACAGGTGCTACACAAGTATAGCGTAGACACGCCTAGGGGGACTTAGGACCCTACTAAACACAAAACAGACACAAATT